TTTTAAGCCAAGTAACGAAGGATCAGATGACAAGAGATTGCAAGGCACATCATCCATTAATAGTACTTATTTCAAAGGTAATAGCAGATATCCATCGAATACAAGTAGGCAGGAGAAGAAGTACAATAATAAAAAGAATTTCAATTACAAACCCAGAGAAGAGGGGCAGAATCAGTTCTACAAAAGAAATATATATGGGCACTCATATCACCAAGACAGAGGTAACAAGTTTCAGGGTAATAAGTACTTTGCCAATAAATATCCTTCTGATAGATCGAGTATTAGAAATGGTAGTACGGATGCGCTGAGTATATATACTGTAAATGAAAGCATTCCTTGCAATAGCAAAAAAGAGTTTAGCACAAATGTAAATGAAAGAGAATCTTTAAATGTAAAGGCATCTAGAAGTAGGGAATTATTGAGTGCAGGCAAAGAAACTAATGTCGCTGATGGTAAAAATGTACCAGATAATACGGTCGCAGAATCGAGTTACTACTACTGTAAGCAACCGTACGGCAATCATAGAAATATAAAAAGATATCAAGACAATGGCCGGTACAATAGAGAAGAAAATTGTTATAAAGACAAACGACGTAATTATCAGGGATACGGTAGAGAAAATTACAACAGAGATGATAAATTCAAAGCATGCGGTAGCAATGAATTTAAGGAATGTTCGAACGAAGAAACTGGATCAGACACGAAGAGAACTAATGAGAAAAGGCATAATCATCAAGGATACTACAATGAATTTAGAGAACACAAAAAGGATGGCAGAATAGACGTTGGTAAAGAGAAAGGGAATGAACAAGTTAGAAGTAAAAAAGAAATGGGAGAAAAGAATTATGTTCAAAAACGGAGAGAGAATAAAAAGTCGCCAATCGGTATATAATTTTAAAACATTATGAATAGTAACTCCCATTCATATTTGGGCACAATTCAAAATAGAATACGTTCTTTAATAATGGATCAAACAATTTCACTTCCTTTGGAATGTTGAGAGGTCTGGTTTATTACATAACATGTAACAAACAATTGTTATTCGCCGAAGTCTCGAAGAAAAACTAAAAGACATTTTAATAAAAAAGTTAGAAATCATGTTCTTTACTTTTTTTAGTCTTTTTTACTCGATACGTCGACGACTAGTAATAGTTTTTAATGTCTAATTACACATTATGCAGTAAACTAAACTTTATAACATCTCATAAAAAAATAAGTTGTTTCGTCCAATATTAAAAAATTATTCCATTTTGAAATGTGTCCAAATATTAATAGAAGTCGCCTTATATTATAATCTTCATGCACTAATAAATTTTTTTGTATAGATGATGATTCAAGTCAGAGGGAAAGATTAACAGATCAACTAAACAAGGGCCATTTAGAATGCCTAGTATGTTGCGAATATATTAAGCAGAGCGATTACGTTTGGTCATGTTCCAACTGTTACCACGTTCTACACTTAAAGTGTACTAAAAAGTGGGCGAAATCGTCGCAAGCAGGTAATTACCACGGCTTACTCTTACGTTTTCACTATACTGCGGACACACGTACACACTATACACACGTAC